ACCGTATTAGAAAAGACTGTCCTATCGAAGGATTGTTTTATTATGTTTATTGTCGTCATGCATAATTTATAATATCCATGTTGATAGGTGAAAAATCATTTGAATAATTGTTATTTATAATTACATATGCATTATAATGACACGTTTTAGTAAGGAATATAATAGCAAGCTCAGTTGCTATCTTTTTGCTGATTGAGTTTCCATCTCAATTATTCCAATTATTGATTTCAGATTATAACTGGATCATTGATTTCAGATTATAACTGGATCATATGCTATACCTGTTTCCAACAACGCGTGGCCGTTAAATTTGCATTGGGATAACTTTTCTTGTTCTTTCTATTTTTTGTATTATTTCTTGTTGCTTCCGGTGGAAAAACAAAGATATAAAATATATACCAGATGGAACTCTTTTGAGGGAATATCTAGGATATATAACAACCTTGTTGTACGCTAATTTTGGAATGCTGCTTAAAAAGTGCTTTCTCTCCTAATAAAATCACTATTTTGTGTACTCGTCCTTGTGTGATTAAAAGCTTTTAGTGTCGATTAGGTAAGCAATCGTGAACATTAATTGGCATGACTTGCCTAATACAGGTGCGAATGCGTAATACTATTGCATCATAAGTACACCTAATTGCAGAAACGTTGTAATAGAAAATAGAACGTTCGAATTTAGTACAAAAGAAAATTAAAAGAGGAAAATAGAGAGCATTCAGCCTCAGTGATCTTCTTTTGTCTTTTCAATTTATTCCTTTTTACTAAATACAAATGTCCAATTTTTTTATGACAACGTTTTCGCAAGTAAGTGTATATTTGTTAAGGATAAACATTTCAAATTAAGATTCTTTCTTCCCGACAAATCACATGCAAGCAGAAGCTATTTATCTTTGTTTACTTCTTAATCTAGTTGTCTGTGCATCATTGATTTAGTTATCAGGGCAGCCGTAGACCTCAGCTCTCATGCCAGGAAAATCGGAGTAGGTAACAACCACAAATCGAATATAGCGACATCTGACTGACTCTGGTAGCTTGTTTGTGATAATAGTGTCACGGTCAGTGTTTCCAGAGAAGACCTGTAGAAAAGGAATTTTTACTCAAATTCATCACGTATACAGTCACTATACAGTGTACCTAAGCACCAAGAAACAATTTATGTTCACAGTGTTAACTGAGCAATATAGTTAATAGTAACTACCGATAATATCTGTTTTACTAACCTTGAGTGCTCCGCCAACCTTGTAGTCAGTGAAAGTCCCATCATTAAGAGCATAAGAAAGACTATATGAGGTAGGCCATACAATCCACTTGTGTGGTCTTCCCTGTGTCGCTACCATGGTAACTCGGTAAACATTACCAAGGTCCACTTGCAGATATTCTCCTGCAACCTGGTTTTTAGCTTGCCAGCAACCGGCATCTACACTAGAGCTGTAGGGCATTTTGGGCTGCATCCTGAGTCGTCCTCGCCATGGTTCGTGACCAGCACCCCAGAAAGAGGAAGCAGAGATTCTGTTGTTTGGAATGGTTCCTGATTCTAAACCAAGAGAGGCATTGCATACTGCCAAAAGAGGGTGTTCAAGAGGAAGGTTAGTAAAATCAATCGTGTTGGATTGTAAAGGAATGCAATGAAATTAGAAGAAGAATCTCAGACAATCATTGCGGAGTTGAGTTTAACCGTATTTGGAATGTTATGTTATACAGTTAGGTTTGCACACCCCAAGGCACTTAGTTGGTACCCAATTTACAGAGTTCTAGTGTGAAAGTTTATAAATGACGGTGTTGGTGCACTCGAATAAGTTTCCCATTTGCAAATAGATATTTCTACCTACCTTTACAGATATAATCGTCTTTAGAGCTGTCAATCAAACAACTTTGTCCACTAGTGCAGTATGCATCACTGCAATAATCATTCTTTATCTTAATGTAAACCCCTCCCATGTCATACACGAGGTGCAGAGGTCTTGAAAGATGCGTTGCCTTGTTGAGATGACAATTCTTCTGTTTCTTGTAGTAGTTGATACTAAAACATCCTGAATTCTCTCTGCATTTCATCTCGCATTGTGCTTGACTGGAGACAAATAACGATGCCAAAAGGTTTTCTTGAAGGATACGAGTTTCCAGCATGTGTGCTGACTTACATAAAGATTGAGCATTGGTCACGAACATGTCCAACAACAGCAATGCTCCAAGACTTAGAGCCGTCTTTTTCATGTTTCAGGGAAAACAACATTATAATCAGGAATTGGGTTCTTTTCTTTGCCCCGCTATCGCTTCGTCTAGTGTCGTGTACTAGAATTGTTTATAAAGAGACTAAATTGAGGATCCTTGTGACATACAGCCTGTCAGATATATCGCGTTGTCTCAGTTTTTTATGCAAGGTAGTTTTCAAAAAAGAAAGAATATTTAAAACAACGTCCTTCTTTATAAATATTTGAAGACAATATTGACTCGATGCTTGAAGAAGTAGTTATCAATAGAACAGGATTGTGTGATTCAAGAGTAAAACGTGAAATTGCATTATCACTACTCACTTTAGTGTGAGTGTTATAAGATAGAATGCCAAGAGTAATTGGGTTCTTATTCTCCAAGGGTGTAGACGATGCATAATTCATGATATTCATGAAAAGGTTAATAATTTGAATCAGAATTACTCTTATAAAAGTAGGCTTAAGTGACAGATTTAATTCACAAATCAGTCTAAAACACTAGCTAGTGTTTTTTAGCTTTTTGTCCTATGTTCTTCACTTTGTGCAGTCAGATTGTAAAAATCTTGGGTGCCTGTGTAGAAGGGTTCTCTATTCGTGTATAGGAATATTTTTAGTAATATATATAACTAAAAAAAGAGTCCTTATTTGTGAATAGAGGCAGAACAAAGGTGCCCATTGTATTCATTTGTTTTTTATCAGTATGGCTTCTTGGGTCCTCGGAAACCATGCATTACGCACATGCATATAACGTTGTAATATCCCCGAGAATACACACATTTAGTTAACAAATATATCTCATTTTTCCGTGCGTGTGTACTCTAATAGATACACAGATGACGTCAAAATGTAGTGAGAACAAAAAAGT